CAGATCTCCTCTCTCTAAAATCACTTGTACCATCTTTATCTATGTGTAAGAAATGTGTAAAAAGTGAAATAATATCAGAAAACAAACAAAACAATATTTCCATTAATTTCTAATCCAAGCGTGCTGTTTTTCATGTCTGTCATGTTTGAGCTCAAACTTATAACATCAATATATTTGATAACCAGCACAGGACTGGAAACTACACTTGCCATAACTTTATTTGACATTGTTGCCAAACATTATGCTTCCATGCCACTTTTGCAAAGGCGATATAATACCCAGGATTCTCACATTCTGCACTGTATATACAGTAGATAATTTATGGGAATAGAGCAGAAGGATCCTGGTTTAAAAAGTGGAAAGTGTCCCATGTTTTTCATTTACCATAATGTCAACCATCCACTTTGTTCTAATACTTGAAGCCATTTTATTGAGGGAAGCCAGAAGCTTTTACTAAGACCACCTGATAAAGCAGCTATATTACAAACCCTGTCATAAAGGGAGAGGGATTTGAGGAAATTCCTATAATTGAAAACCTAGTCAAAGAAGCAGGAAGCTTTAGTTTTTTCCTTGTTTGTTTCTACAACCGTTATAACTAGAAATGTTCTTTGATTTTCTTTAAAAGAAAGTCTTATTTCCCAATTTATTTTGGTAGTTGATGTAATGCACAGAAATGTGGGACCACAGATTACAAATAATCAATATAAAGACCATTTATATTATTCACATGTTAAGTGTGACATTCTATGGCATCTGCCAGGTTTTACTTTTGGAGGTCTTTTCTTTAGGTTTCTTTAGAGGTCTCCTGATTCCATTCTCCATTACATACACCTATGAAAGACCAGGCAAGCTTGTACGAAAGTGTTCTATGAATGTTCTGCCAATCCTTTACTGTTTTCAAAAGCAGGTCCAAACAATTCCACCTACAAATAATATGTGCTGGTTCCTTCAAACAGCAGGACCTCTCTGAGCAAAAGAAAAGCTGTAACTTGAAAAGACATCCTAAGAGTGAAGCAAAGAGACCAGAGATGAGAGTTTTTTCCTTAGAAGTACACATCAAGTTAAATGGATTGAAACAAGTCTTTACAATTTTGTTGACTCCTTTTCAGCCAATAATTGTACCAACAGCATGTATTAAATTATAATTAAACTAAACATATTCTTTTTCTATTAGAATTACCAGCTCACTTTTGAATTATTAATTGCTGTGCTTTTGGGAACTGTTGAGACATGTTCTAACTATAAATCACATTCATACCCTGCAATTCTTTTCATTGGATCTGTATTTCAGCTTGAAAGTCTCAAATCGCCTTTGATGCTTACAAATACTTACAAATCTACAATCACTTTGGAAGAAAATAGAGAAGGGGCTGCTATGTAACATCTTTGGAAACATCAAACAAAAAATGAAAGAGACCCTAATTTGGAATGATTTCTAAAGTTACATGATTCCAGCTCATTTGCTTTATCTGTTATTTATAGTCTGTACTTCTTTGTGTGATTGTTTTAATCTATGTTATTATGTTTTTGCATTTATTTATCTATCTATCTATCTATCTGTCTGTCTACCTATTTATTTATTTATTTATATGTTTACCCAACATCAACTTAAGAACTATTGTTGTAAGACAAAAATTTGCAGCATGTGATCCTATGTCCATTTCTGTTATATTTTGAATTGCTTCAGTTCAGCACCAGCGAAATCTGACAAATCATTTACAATTGAGGGTACCATTTCTCATTATTCTATTATTTTAAAATTTTGCACATTACAAAAAGCTTTAAAAAAATTTTTTTTAAATTAGCTACTACAAAATAACTTACAGAAAATTGAGAAACAGTTTTTGAAAAACATTTTGACAATTGAGAAACAAAGAAAATTATGGCTCCAGCCACTTGGACTGTACAGTCTTACTACTCTGCCTAAGATGAAACTGCTCCAAAGAGCTAAAGAAAAGAAAGAGGTAATACTTTAAAAGTATAGCCCCTGACCATGAAAAATTTCTTGCCATTCCTATAAAGCAATTAAAGCAATGCAATTAAGTTATGCAATTCTACAAATGAATGTGAACAGCTTGGTTATAAAAGTGGTTTGGCTGAGAAACAATCTGAAATCATCTACAAGCTACTCTTACTCTACACTTACTTCTTTACAGTGGAATTTCATTCATTAACAGAATTTAATCTCATTATGTTCAGTTAGCTTATTGACAAGTGTCTATAACTCTGCAGCCTTAGATTTTCCTTAGGTGTGAAGAATGTCAAGAATGTTAAGCTGTAACAGAAAATAAATCTGAGCTCTGAGAAAGTAAAAAATATTAACAAGAAACTCAACTTTCCATCCTGATTTTGTTAAGTATGTATTGAAGTAGAGAGTTTTGACAGCTCTTGAGGTTCTGTTACAATACCTAAATGGCAGTAGAGAACATTTAAGACTCTTAATAACCCTGTTTTCTGAGCTTGCCTTTCTTGAAAGACTGATAGTAAAACATCACTTTTAAAAAAAGGCTCTAGGTCCTAACTTTATCATAAAAGAGTCACAGTATAGTTTTGTACAGAGGTACAAATGTTATCCTGTGATAACATTTGGTAACAAATAGTCTTCCTGCAGCTACCTAACAAAGACTTCATGGAATCAATGGAAAGAAAAATAATTTTATAAAATAAATTTATAAAGCAAATAAATTTGATAACTAAATAAGTAAAATCACTAATGGACAGGAAAAAATATTGACAAAGCAACACAGGCCTATGACAGCAACTGTGTGGGAACTTTTCTCATATACATTTCTCTTCGCACCGTTTACAAAGAGGGCATTTTTGGCTCTTGCCTCCATTGGGCTGGATGATAGTCTGTGTTTGATGGGAGGATACCAGCTTGAGGAATAATATTTTAGACCAGTATTTTTCAAACCCTGGCAAATTTAAGTTGTATAGACTTCAACTCCCAGAATTCTCCAGGCAGATGACTGTAATTCCGTTTGAGAAAAGGTGATTTGCTTTTTGAATTGTAGCATTTTTTAAAAAATAAATTTCTGTTGCAATTTGCAATACAATTTAGTAGTTTTGCCCATCTGAGGATCAGGTGGTTACTTTCCTGTCTTCAGCATTCTGCAGTCTACTAGTTTCAGTCAGATCCCAAGCAAAAATATTTTGAACCAATGACTCTCACTGAGCTTTTTCGGTGGCAATATTTCTGTCTTTGTACCAATTCCACCAAACAAGGTGAAGAAACTGCTGGAAAAGCTCTGTTTCTCCTGGAGAAATGTTTGCCACAAATGGTCTGAGCCAAGATCTCTACCCACAAAATTGCTTTTCAAATGCCATTGGAACCCATCTCTATTTATCTTGAATCCTAGCCAATAAATACATTTCAACCAGACTGCAAAGTGCAAATTATTTTGGACATAGGAATGAATCATTCTTTCTGTTTTCTCCCAAGGCACATTAAAAAAAAAAAAAAAGACCTGCACTGACGTGATGACAAGCAAAGTTTACTTCAAAAAAATCCAACATAAGATCTCTTCAATCTGCACATTATGGTTCAGAAAATATTAGCCTTGCCCATGCTTGCATACATTAATGCATCATTATTTGATAATGTATATTGCTATTAGTACACCAAACATCTAACTCTGTGGTATCTTGGTATCCATTCCATTTTCTTGGACAAGTTTTACAATTCCTACTTTAAGTACTGGAGTCTTTCAAAACCAAATGCTGTTATGACCATCCCCTAAATCAGGGGTGTCAAACTCGCATTGTCACAGTGGCATCACACGATGTATAATGACTTTTTCCCACTTCGCTAAACTAAGCGTGGGCATGGCCAGTGTGTGATGCATCTGGCCCACAGGCCGTAAGTTTGACAGCCCTGACCTAAATAAAACCCCTGAGTTTTCTCTCTTTTTGTGGGGATATTGAGGCCAGAAATGTCTGTTATGATGAATGGTGTCTCTCCAGGAATTTAACTACTACCAAGACAGAGATGGTCGCAGTATTAAGCTTACTCAGATAGTGTAACAAGAATGTGTATAATAACAATGGGGAATGTATCATTGCTTCAAGCTAGGTAAGCCTGGTATATTACTGTAGTGGTATTATATTTCAATGTGAAAGTATTGTTTTTATTATGTTTATACTGTTTTTAAGTTGCTGCAGTCTAAATCCATAATAAACTAAGCAGGCTTTGCCATTTCAGAAGAACTTAGTCAAGAGTGGTACTGTAAGTGTTCACTTTGCAAGCAGTGGGCAAATTTGAAGATTACACTAGCTATAGCAGTCTTTTGTAACTGGTATCTTTCCATATGTGTGTGCTTATAGCGCTCACAATTCTCAGCACTGATGGGACAGATATTCCAACAGATCTGGAGAACACTGATTGGGTGAGATAAACTAAAACTTTAAATTGATGAAATGCATGACAATGGCTTTAACTGGGGCATTTTAGGAAAAATAATACCATGATTATGATTCTGGTGTATGTTGCAATTAAGAACATATAACTGTCTGTTTCATTGTCTTGTATTCATAAATATTTCCCTGCTGGTTATTTTCCAGAGTCATCAAGAACTTTATGTCAGCGACATGATAATCAATGAACTAAACTTAATTAGGGAGAGAGAACAGGTAAAAGAAGCTATAGATGCTATCAGTACATATAATTCCTTGTACTTTTTGGTTTCAAAAGAATAAAGGTGATATGATATAGGCAACAATGGCCTATTAACTTTTCTTCATTGTAAAATTCACTTCAGAGATTCTGTTTTGGTACTTTATTCTGTCAGTTACTTTAAAAGGAAGATCTTTAAAAAAAAACCTAAGGATTTTGTTAAATCAGTCATTTTCTTTAAATGAAATGGATGAAAACAAAGCTTTATTAGAGCTCATGCAATAAACCAAAGGCAGTTCAAACTGTAGATGAAAAAGAACTGAGCAAAAATCTGGTAGTAAGAGGAGCTTCGCAAAGAAGGAAAAGCTGATAAGTTCACTGTGTGGGTTTAATTCCCAGAGACATGAACTTGTTCACGGGACGAGATCACTTTTCCATCTTTTATCTCCTCAATAATTGTGCGAATCTGACGGGTAGTTTTGGATCCTGCAGGGAAACAGAGGAGGAATCAAAACTTAATTGGAAAATAGAAAAGTGACAAAGAATTCCATCATCCAACATTCTCTTCTTCAGCACTCAGCTAAACAGAATTTTCAGAAGAAAACAAAAGGTAGCAAGGCTAATGTTTCACCCAAGTGATTTCCTTTTCAGAGCACTTACACTGAAGGTTTTACCATTTGGAAAGAAGACAATGGTCTGCATTGATTCAGTGCTCATTGGATGTTGATTTCAAGAATAGTGCTTTGTTTACAGAAAATAGAGCTGTTTCTAAGGCTTTTATACTGTTATCTGATAATTAAATAATTTTTGGATACATTTTCATTTCTAGAACTGAGATTGAGTAGTTCAGCATAATTTATTTCCTTTCAGGGGAAGAAGCAAGGCTTCATCTACCTATTTGCTTTAAGCAGCAGGCTTCTAGTCTGGCAGTATTTATACCAGACTATTTAATTAAAAAATTAATAAAATAATAATAATCAGGGTAGAGGCAAAGGAGCTGAGGCTGATTAGAGATGGCCTGTTTGATCCAGTGAGAATCAAACACCTATATATATTCCCAGCAGTGCATGTTTATAAATGCGACAGGGATTCATCTTATTCAACTTTTTCCTAATATGTCTTACCCCCACTCTCTTTCTCCTATTTTTTGCTCAACCCGCTCTATTTTCCTTAGGCAAAGCAATCATGTCATTTTTGCAGAGTATTCCAACAGTGGGTCTTCTCAGTTTCTCAAAATATCTCCAGCTCAAGTGTTCTTTGTATAAAGAGGATCAGGAAGAATTTGATACTGTTGATCAACCATTGACATTATGCATCCAGTCTGATCCCCTTCTTTTTCTTCTACCAGAGTCAAAGCTCTGATATGGGAGTAAACAGTAGTAATTGCAAAGTTGCCATCCAATTTATGTTGCAATCTCTTTTCAAACACATGAAGCATGAAAGAATGGATCAGTCAAAGCACCTGATGGGCAGACTTTCTGCTGCAGCTCACTGGTGCAGATCACAAAGCCCATAGTCCACATGCTGTGAAGCTTTAGAAGCTGCCAATAGGAATTTCTACCACAGCAAAAAACCAAAACCCATTGGCTTCCAAGTGGGATGATGATGCAAAAGCAGAAATGGTCATAGTTTAATATAGCCCTATGGCTGATGGAAGTAGGCACTTTCACCTTTCACCTAGTTGCTCTCCATGGAATATAAAATATTTGCCTAACAATTGGGAAGTGCTAGATTCCTTGAAGACTGCTTTTTCCAGACTCAGCCTGACTTAATGGTAGGCTGGCCCTGAGATATAGAAAATGTTGTGAGGACACATCTTTTACCAATGGCAAGGAATTCAATCTGGAGATGAAGCAGGGAGATATGGATGAGGAGATTTGAGTGACCTGTAGGTTTGTTCACAATAACTGAATCATCAACTTGTCTATTCATTTTGCAGATCTAGATACTCCAAGAAGGAAACTTTTAAAACTAGAATAGATTCAGGCAACACAGTAATTAAAAATCAAAACTCTAGTAGATCCTTACCCTCTATGTCTGATGAGTACTGGGGAGAAATACTACATGAAAAGAAGAAAAATAAAAAAGACCAATTAGAGAAACATAAAAAGCTATGCAAAAAAACAAATACAGAAGTGATTGTCAAAGTTGCTAGTCTTTAATAAGAAAGAAACAATGATACTTGATCTAAGTCTGATTTAATTGATGATAATTTCTTTATAATAAAATTACAGGAGCTATTTTAGAATGCTGGACCACTTTAGTTATAATCATTGCATTTTCACCTGTGGCCCAGTACTCTATTGATAGACTAGTAAAGGCAAAAGACAAAGAATAAGATCTTGTTTGAACACCGCCTTTGTCATTAATTGTATTTGATTTACAACCATTGCAATCACAATAGCCCAACTTATTGTATCAACAATATGCACTAACAAAAGTTTGAAATGGTGGGAAAACTACAAAAATCATCTTAAATAATTATTGTTAGTCCTACTCAGGCATTAGAATATATTTCAGAAACCCTTCAGTTTGGTGAACTTTACTCTGAAAGACCCCTAACCTTCATCATTTTCCCAATTAGTCATTTTGAGTACAAATGATGGGACCATTTTGACATACTAAGCTTCCTCTCCCTCCAGCAGACGACGGTAGGTAGCAATCTCCTGTTCCAAACGTGTCTTGACATCAAGAAGAATCTTGTATTCATGATTCTGGCGCTCCATGTCACATCTCAAGGTAGCCAGTTCCTCTTCCAGATTGATGATAAGACCTTGGATCTGAGCAAGCTGAATGCTATAACGAGATTCTATGTCTGCCAAAGTCCCTTCCAGTGCTGCTTTCTGGGAAGAGGGATGAATGAGAATCCGTGTTAAAAAGGAATATAAACATTATATGGGGCAAAACCAGCACTAGGTTACAAACTATTATTTATTGAGCCAAATGGCTGGGTACACATATTATTGGAAGCCTAATGCAAATCAACCTCATAATGGATTAACCTAATAGTGGCATAACAAAAGTGCATGCAGCCCTCACCCCAGCAATTTGATATTAGCTGCTAGAGCTGCTAAATTTTCCTCTGTATTATAAGAGAATAAGAACATTCTTCACTTTATTTGTACAGTATTCATTTGACGTTTTAATTTAACATTTTTACATTTCTTTTTTAAAGTAACTTTTCTATCCTACCCTCAACCACTTCTTTGTCATAGCCTTGTCTGCTTTGGTAGTTTTACTTCCAAAATATCATTCAAAGATCAAATACACTGTCACCCTAATACAATTGCCCAACTCTAATTTAGCACACTATGTCATTCCAGTAGAAGATCCTACCAATGTTTCCTGGTGCATTACCTAAGAGAACATGAACATCCTGGGAGAAATGCATCCCCCCACTCACCCAAGAAATCTATCTGCCTTGATAAGCTTACTTACAGGGGCCTCAGGACACTCTTTGAAAATGATTTACCTATAGAAACTGAGAACTTCTTGCATGTAGATTGATCCTCTTATCAAAAAGGTACCTTCTTATAGTAGCTACAAATATAGTAACTACAAATAAGTTTTTGGCAAATAAAACTGCCTCATTTTTCCTCACCCGATTTGTTTATCTGTTTCATAAAAAAAGAATTGGCTTTTGAAGTTTTGTTTGAAAGAACAAAGAATGTGGATAAAGTTCTCTAGACAGGAATCTGACATTGTGGATAATTATTTAACTATGAAGTAGCCAAAGAGCATATAGGAATGCCTCAGCTTTCATACCCCAATTGACTTTCCAGAAGTCTTGAGCATAGGGAGCATAGAGAATGGCCTTGAAGGACAGAAAGAAAAGCTAGTATCAAAGCAACTTTCAGATAATCAGGGACTGAGCCCATTGCAAGAAACAGGCCCCTCTCTAGTTCACATGAAGATAGGGTGAAGGAGGAGGAAGCAAATTCAAACTTACAAGATTTATTTTCCATAGCTGTTACAATATGTCCCAAGACATTTTTCAAGAGGCAACTTTTGAAAAAGCATCATTAGGACAACCATGACCTAAATGACTCTCCATAACAGCTTCCCTGGATTTCCACACTAGGACTACATTCTTTGTGAGGATGTCATAAAGGATTGTTTAGATTGGGAAGCCAAAAAGGCTTGAGTGTAATAGAAGGATATATAACAGAGAGCAGCAACATAAGTGTACCATTCTGTATCCCATTCAACAGTAAAATCAGCTGAATGCTCAACAGGCTGAGAATGTGATGGAAAAAAAACAGTTTCACTCACAAGCGAAAAGGTAGTTTTCAACACAGGAATACAGAGCAACTCAGGGAAGAAACAAGAGTATTTCTGTCCTCTCAGTGAAGCAGAAACATATTTTGCACCATACTCTAGTCTTCTTATTTAGAATATAAATAGCGAAAAACAAAAACAGTCTTGTTCCTGTACCGTGCTAAGCTGAGCCTGCAAATCTATCTCTAGTCCTTGAAGGCTGCGTTGCAGTTCTAGGACTTCTGTTTGGCCACTCTGCAGTTGTTCTGTATTGATGGCAACTTCTTGATTCAGCTCTTCAATCTGTTAAGAAAGGACCACTGAAACATCACAGTGCACATATCAAAATAGTGATTTCAAGAGAGTATGTTCATCTCAAGGAAGTCCCTACCTTGGTGAAGAACCACTGCTCAGCATCTCTGCGGTTCTTTTCTGCCAGGCTCTCATACTGTTCTCGCATGTCTGCCAGGATCTTCGTCAGGTCCACACCAGGAGCAGCATCCATTTCCACAGTGATTTCTCCACCCATTTGGCTTTGAAGAAGTCTCATTTCCTATTTGAGAAACACCAAAGAAAAGTCCTCCTATTATCCTGAGTAATATCAGGAACCACACTATTTCTAGAATAAGTAATATTAGTTTACTTTATTTAGCATGGAGATTTCAATCCATCGTGGTATCTAATTTTTGGTTAATTGGTTTATTTATTGATCCAGTCTACTTGGCCGCTCATCTATCCAAGAAAATCTGGGTGACAACCAGGTTGAAAACAAAGAAATTTTTATCTTAATATTTGTTGAACATCCAAAGAAGTTCCAAACGTGGTACATATAGATCAGACAGGTTATAATCCCAAAAGAAAGGATTAAAACAGATAAATGCTTTAGGATATATTTATAACAAGAAAAATAAAGCATCAGTAATCTTTTTAGACATGTGGCAAGCAGGGTCTGGTTATTTGAGGGACCTCTTGTCTCTCATAGTTTCTACCCAGCCAGTTTGATCTAGCTAGGTTGGCAGATTCTGGGTTTCGTTGAATAAACAATGCCATCTATCAGGATCCTGGAAGTGTACCTTTTCTGTAGCATTGCTTGCCCTCTGGAACAAACAAGAATCAAACAGTTCCATCTTGCTGGGATTCCAAAGGGCAGGTGTTTAATGCTTTGATAGGCTCTTTGTCTAGGGCCTTTGGCCAGGAGAGCTGGCAGTCCTTTCTTCCCTTTGCTTGTTCCCCTTTGAGTTGGTTTTCTTTGCCATTAATTGCTGTTTTGTCCTGTTCTCTGTGTGTGTGTGTGTGTGTGTGTTGTTCTTTGTTTTTAAATGATTTAAACAATTCTAAACTGCCCATAATTACTGTGGGTCAAATGGCATATAAATTTAATGAATTATTATGGTTTGTCACACAGTCAGCCAAACATTCAGATTGAATTCGGCATTTTTAACCACCTATCAAGTCCTTCACAAGAACCTGGGATAGGCAGGTGTGGATATTTGATGGTGTTAAACGTATCATTGCAGCAGTGGTGGAATTCAAAAAGTTTTATTACCAGTTCTGTGGGAGTAGCTTGGTGGTCATGAAGTGGGTTGGTGGCCATGGCAGTGGAAGAAAAATCTTCATTCCCTCCCCACCCCACTAACCTGTTTCCAGCTCCATTCTCCTGTGCAGGGCAACAAAAAAAGACCCAGCCAATCAGCTGGGACTCAGGAGGCAGAGAATAGATGGGTGGGGCCATTCAGAGGTGGCTTTTGCCGGTTCTCCAAACTACTCAAAATTTCTGCTACCAGTTCTCCAGAACTGGTCAGAACCTGCTGAATACCACCTCTGCATTGCAGGATGTTAAGTGTGCCCTGTAAAGCTGCCCAGTTTGCAACTGACTTGACGATGCTTTTTTTGTCAATACCGATGTTATTATTATTGTGACTGCTGATGAAAACAATTTAAAGTTCTGGTGAATTTTCTGGATTCAAAATTAATAGAAGGAGCCCAGATGCCAGATAACAAAAAGTGAAATATCTGGGATTGTGTTTGACGAGATGCAATAAAGATATATTTCAAACAATTATAATAAATTATATAATTATATAATAAATTTTGGAGAGGCGTGTTTGTGTGTGTGTGTGTGTGTGTGTGTGTGTGTGTGTGTAAGTAAAATATTATGACTCTCAAAATTAACGTATTACCCAAATGACATACATTTTAAACCTGCAAAGAAAAATTAGTAGATGTATATGCAGCAGGGGAAAAACAAAAATAAAATTCAAAAATTTATAGGATTTAGAAGACAAAGTTAAGTTTGTTTTTCCAAATTTCAAATCTTTTCAGAATGCAAGCTGTCATGAATAATAGAATGGATAAAATCCCAAATAGCAAAATGTCAATATTAAAAGGAACCGGTTTAGCTAGCAGGTTTTTAGGTATTCGTAGGGCTTCATGGGTGTTTATGATATAAGGAAACAAAAGAAGATAAAAATCTAGAAGGGCATATTCCAAAACAAAACTTGAAAAAAAGTTGGAGCTCTTTAAAAAAAAAACTATTTCACCATTGGCTTCTCCACTAAAGTGCTTTTCATTATGGGGATGACTATAGCAAGAAACCTATAATTATATATACACATATGGTGCTTTCTGATTCCAGAAAAACACATACCAAGAATTATTCAATTAAAGATGGGTTTTACCTTCTGGTATAGCTATAAATAGCAGAACAATAAAAAGTTCTTTCAGGGAGAAAGAAAGAGGGACTTTTAAGAAAAATAACAGAATTGAATCTCACAGAATTGAGGCCACCTTCAAGAAAAAACTTCCTTTTTCCTTTTTTTTCATGTGAATTCAATACTTAATTACTTGCTTGAGAACAAGGTGATAAAATAGAACAGAAAAATAAAATAGAATTAAGCCCAATGCATTCAATGGCATCAGAATACAGGTAGTCCTTGACTTATAACTACAATTGAGTCCAAAATTTCTGTTGTTCAGTAAGGCATTTGTTAAATGAGTTTTTCCCCATTGAACAACCTTTCTTGCCACAGTTGTTAAGTGAATCAATGCAGCTGTTAAGTTAGTAACACAGATATTAAGTGAATCTGGCTTCCCTATTGACTTTGCTATCAGACATTCACAAAAGGTGATCACATGATCTTGGGACACAATAATAATCATAGGTATGGGTGTTGTCAAAGGTCTGAATTTTGATCACATGACTATGGAGATGCTGAAAAGGTCATAAGTGTGAAAAATAGTCATAAGTCACTTTTTTCAGTGCCATTGTAACTTTGAATGGTCACTAAATGAACTGCTGTAAGTCAAGGACTTCCTGTACACACTTGAGTTGCCAAATCAAGTAAAGAAGAGTCAAGAGCAGGCAAATCAACTGTGGCATGTTTATGTGTGAATCAGGCCAAAGTCTTATTTTGCAAATAAAATCACAAATCCAAAGACTTCTATGCTCTCAACTGTTCAATAGCTGTGATGCAAACTTCTCATTGGGCACTATCTGCTATGAGTGCAAATATGTTATTGGATTACCGGACTTCCAGTTTGAGCTTCTTCGGCGACAGACCGAAACTGTGACTCTGTGCAGTTTCAATCTGTGCTTGCCACTGGAGCGCCCCAAGCCATCTGGTTTCGGGCCTTAAGCCACCCCGTAGAGGTGGTGAAGAAGAGGGAGACTGCCTGCAGGGTTGAGGAGAGCCGCATCTCTCCTCCTCAGCTGGCCATTACTCCCTTTCCTGAAGGCGATTGCAGCAGTGGTCAGAAATGGCCACCACAAGGAAGAACTTGACCAGAAAAGAATGTGCAGGAGGAAGATAAGAAGAGAAAGTTTTGGTTGACTGGGTCAAACAGCAAAAGCAACAAATAAGATACCCTGGAATTTAAACTATAAAAAAGTAATACTATTCCCAAAGAAGATCTATAAGCAGCGAAGGAGAGAGAAAAGGGAAAGGATTTGTTTTTTTTTTCCTTTTCCTATACTGACAGCTAAGAGACTTAAGGAGGAAATTGGAAAAAAAATCCACTTTGATATCAATAAGCATTTAATGCTGAAAATAAAAAGTCAAAGGGATAATAAAGATTTCTGGATACTTAAAAGCTTTTGAAAACAGGAAAGGAGAATAAAAGAATAAAAGGGCAGGATCTGGAAGGGAGGAGACTGCCTGGAATTAAAAAGAACTCACAGTAAAAGCTCAACAAGACTTCTAAAAGATACATTTTAACTGAAACATGGCAACAAAATAATAAAACCCCAGGAAGAGAAAGTGAAAAAAGAAATAAGAAGAAATAGCTCGGGAATATTTGGATTACTTGGTGATTTCTGGATTCTTGGTTACTGCATTTGAATGACTAAAATCAATCGGGTGGTTGTTTAAAAGTGTTGAAAATGGCTCCACTCTTAGAAGAACTGAAAATGGAACTTAAAAAGTACAAAGAAGACACACAAGAAGGGAGAGGTTCTTTCGGCTTTGTATTTCAGTTCTTAGAAATGGAGATTTGGAACTATGAGAAACAACAAGAAATGCCTGCAGAATAAGAAGATTGCAACAAAGAAGAAGCCATCTTTAATGAACAAGTAATCTTAGGTGGGGGGGGAGGAAAGGAGGGGAAGAGAATGAAAAGTTTAAGACTGGGAAAAACAAACCCAAAAAAGAATAGATTGAAAAATAAGTATAAAATCAGAAAGCAACAGAAGAGGGAAATGCAGAAGAGAGAATTAGAAGTAGAGAGATAAGGGGGTAAAAAGGGGAGGGAGAAGATGAGAGGGAAGAAAGAAAGGAAAAGAAGTTATAAAGGACAGAAACAAGATATAGAGAAACAGGGCCTATTTAGAGATAATGGGTGAAAATCTAATTGAAAAAAGGATTCTGCAAAGGTACATAAGATAGCATTGTTATATTAAAAATAGAAATAATTTCAGAAAATATGAAACAATGTATGATTAAAATGTTTGATAAAATAGTTATTGTAATTTAATGGAATGTAAATAAATGTAATAAAATGAATATTTAATTATTTATAAAACTTATGTGAAGAGAAATAAGGGAAAAATTAATTATGGAGATTATATGTGTCTTCAAGGAAGTATGATATTTAATTGAAAAGAGATGTTAAAGATGTTAAGACTTTAATGAATATTAATGATAGAACTGAATTGGAATGGAATGGGGGTTTTAATTACATATATTTATAATCTTTTTTTAAGAATACAGTGTGTATTATAAGAATGTACCAACCAGAATTCGATTGGAAGTTATGTATTATATTGAATGTTACAACTTTAAGGTATATATTGAAGTTTAAATAAGAGTTGAATGGATAAAATTAAAAGATATAAAGGTGTCATACTCCAATTAGTAACTACAGGAGAAAATTTGTTTAATGAGAAAAGATATGAAATTGAAACAAGACAGACAAAGGTATAAATATAATGATTTGAATTGAGATGAGATGAGATAATCAAAATAAAATTGAGAAAATTAAAAGAGGGGAAAAACTATATAGAAAATGCAAAATAGTAATAAGATATGGAATAGAACACAAAAATGAGCATGAAACTGACTTAGTGTCTGTATAAAAAAGTGTAACCCAGGACCATGCTATTTTCAAAAAAGATGTTTTACTATATTATGGTTTTTGTGTGTGTGAAAACCCAAATAAAACTTAAATTAAAAAAAATATATATGTTATTGGATTACCATACAATATAAACTAATTGCAAGTTCAGTGGGGTATCTTACCTCTTCATGATTCTTCTTCAAGTGAACCAACTCCTCCGTGAGAAGTTCAATATCCTTTTCTAGGTGAATCCTGGTTGAGGTTAGATCATCTAGAACATTTCGCAAGCCATTGATGTCAGATTCAACACTCATGCGCAATGCCTGTTCTGTCTCAAGCCTAAAATCAGAAGGGATGAGTGAGTGATGATGAAAAATGTAGAAGAGACAATATTTGTTGCCATCATGATGATGGCTTGATAGCAACCCACCAAAAACATACTTGTTTTTGAAATCGTCAGCAGTCAGTTTTGCATTATCAATCTGCAAGAGGATGTCAGCATTCCCAATTGTAGCAGAAAGAATCTGAAAACAGTATAGAAATAACTGATTGAAATCAAGAGTTTCTATAGGAATGCCTTCACATTTGAAATGTTTGTGCCTGCAGTTGTCTGTCCCTCACCACAGAAAACGATAATCCTCAGCTGTTTAGTGTGTTGAGTAGAGTTTCTACTGTGACTGTAATGCTCCAAAATCAACATTGTATCTTAGTAAATGTCTTGTCAGCACACCAAACTATTGAGTTCATCTGCTATTTCAGAGGAAGCACACTGAAAGCAACCATTTCACAACATTTCTCCTGGAGCTAAAAGATTAATGCCAGCTACCTCATTTGTGAAAATGTCTCATTTGTTCTACTTCCCAGGTGCTCAGAGTTGATTTCCCTTTTGCAGACAGGGAACTGTGATCCTTGGAGTTGGATTAATAGAGCTGAATGTAAAGAAATCTCTACCACTTGTCCAATATGATTTTTTTTCAAGGAGCCTATAAACAATTGATCTATGGATAAAATGCCCTGTCAAATGCAAGATGCTTTTATCTTTTTCTGTAGCATAAAGCTAAATATCCAGAAGAAGATAGAGGGAGAGAAGAAACATTTGTCCTTTTTTTCTGCACCCCATTGATTCACTCTGCAAAACAGCATTTTCCTCTGCAAGGCCACTGAAACTTTGCCAAGCTGTATCAAATAAATGTTCCTACAGCATTGTTCCTATGTTCCCTGTGAAGGTGTCACATAGAGTTTTTGAACTGAGTAACAAAACATCTTAAAAGGTTTCAAGTTTAAAATTTAATGGATCATGCAAAGCTATCAAAGTTAGCTTCCCATTTTGGCAGATTGTTTCAAGACATAAATAATTCTCATTCAATTGCCTGTACTACAGTCTATAGATAATCAAGACCTACATTCACAAACTAAGACTTGTTCACTTTTGGCTATCTATATTTACTTATAAATATGCTTGGTCTCATGTTTATTTCTCCTTTGATGCCTTGTCTACTTTTGTTTTTGTCTTCACTTTTATCTCTCCCACATTTAGTTGGACTTTAGATACTGGTAGAAATATATTTTTACCTTTCTCTATAATGAACAAGGATTATTTATCCTATTTTCTAAGCTTTCCAAATGTATTTTAAAATGTTGAAATAATTTTTTAAAACATCTACTGTTAGCATATTGAATAGAAATCAAGTAGAAAACTTTTCAATGTATGTCTCAATGATATACATAGAAAACTAATATACATGTAATCCAAAATATAATGTTGTGTGAAAATATGTGCATTTTTGGATTTTACAGGATAATTTTCAAGTCCCAAAGTATTCACAAACATGGGTACATGTCTGGAAAAAAACAGGCACAAAAATGCTTATAGAAAACATTGATGTGAACAATATTGCATCACACTGGAAAAAATTGTTAGAAACATGTTATGAATGAGAAAATAAACACAAAGCATATAGAGATAATTGTTCATATTTCAAATAAATCACCTCAGTATTGATTGAAACATACTGAGTCAATAATTATGGTACATAATGATGGTAATAATTAAGTGAAGACAATTTTAGATTTCACAGATTTACAGAGACCATAACATTTAGTGGGATGAACAGGTCATGTCATTTCTGCACGAAGTCAAGCTTTGTCGAAAAATATTGACTCATTTATAACACCAATTTGATGTTCATACACACTTAACAGACTAATCATTTAACATCCACAATGGAAAGGAATGCTTTGTTCTGAAATTACAAGGAATAAAAATAAAAATGAGGATTAGAGGTGACATGATAGCAGTGTTGCAATATCTCAAAGGCTGCCATAAAGAAGAGGGAGTCAAGCTATTCTCCAAAGCACCTGATGGCAGAACAAGAAGGGTGGAAACTAATCAAGGAGAGAAGCAACTTAGAACTAAGGAGAAATTTCGTGACAATTAGAATAATTAATCAGTGGAACAGCTTGACTCCAGAAGTTGTGAATGCTCCAACACTGGAAGTTTTAAAAAAGATGTTGGATAATCATTTGTCTGAAGTGGTGTAGGGTTTCCTGCCTAGGCAGGGGGTTGGACTAGAAGACCTCTAAGGTCCCTTTCAACTCTGTTTTTCTATTCTATTCTATTCTATTCACCAGAAAAATATTAGCCGTTTCCACTCACACAGCAATTAAATTCTGGTCTCTTAAGACCAACTTGAAAAAGAGGAACCCACCAAAGGAGTCACTTTTGCTAATTTCCTTTTCATGTGCTACAGTATTTTCTTTTAAATGTACTCTGCCCAATGCTGTTGCTAACAAGTGTTTGTGGACACCGGTTGCTTACATTCAGAAGAATAGCATATGTTTCTTTATGGTTTCCTATAAAATTTCCTTGCCATACCTTGCTCCTCAGGTCCTCCATAATCCTGAAATAGTGGCTGTAGTCACGGTCTGGACCAGGTGCCTGATTCTGGTACCATTCCTTAATCTTGACCTCCAGGCTGGCATTGGCTTCCTCCAATGCCCGCACCTTGTCCAGGTAAGCAGCCAGGCGATCATTGAGGTTCTGCATGGTTTCCTTCTCACTCCCAGTCAGAAGAGTATCACTTCCACTTCCACCCACAAAGCCACCAGTTAATCCTCCTCCAAGGCTTCCACCAAGGCCCCCACCAAGGCCACCAGTAAAGGTGCTGCAGTAACTGCTGCCCCCATAAGTACCACCCGAGGTATTTCCAATCCCAGAGACGCAGCGAGCAGTAGAGACTGAAACACCACGAGCTCCACTATGACTGCCAGGGGCATGGCACCCTCTACCAAAATGGGCCAGGTTTTCCCCACTAAAACCTACAGGCCCTTTCATAGAAGAGGAGGAAGTGCTAGTGTAGTGCCTGATGATGGTAGACATCCTGCCAGAGAATGGAGCCACCTAAAAAAAACCTGCTCTGTTAAAATTCTGAAAGGACTGAAAAACTAAGAATTCTCTCTCCTTCCAGGCTGCTTTTATTCCCACTGTGGGGGCGTTATGTCAAAGGCCTTTTCTTTCCCGTGCATTCCCCAGAGCTTTCATCATCTCAGACATCAAAGCCAAGTTCTACAATCATCACTTTTTTTTCCTCGGTGGCCTAATCATGCATTTGTCTCTTTCCTGTAGATACACCTTGTCCTATAAAAGGTAGTTTTGTGTTTCCCCCTTGAACATTCAAGTGTGCCTCAGAAACAGGACTAGCATTGCTCAAGGGTATAGTTGATTGAACATGATGAAATTTTTATGTGCGAAATGCACCCAGGGAGAGACAATGAAAATGCGATCTTGCAAGGAGGGGACCATCACATCAGAAATGAGACTCTATAGAGAGCCGGAGGCTTTTTGCAGTTATTGTACAAAATCTGGAACATCGACAGTTCGGAAGGCTACTTTATAGATTGCAGATTTTACAGAGTGCTTCTGTTCTCGTACATTAAATGACAAAGTCATATATGTAAGTTTGTTCAATTGATCGTTTTCTTTTCAAGGCAAGTTGGAAATTGAAGCAAAGAGCTTCTAAGGCAGGGGTCACCAAGCCCCACACTGGGCCGCAGCCTGTTTGAAACCAGGCCATGCGAGCACAGCTCCATTTGTGCAAGCGGCACCTGCATCTCCCACTTACACAAATGGAGCTGCACATGGGCACACACACACACACACACACACATATACCCCTACTGCTTGCACAGAACCATCCCCTCTCCCCCCCCCCCCCCCACAACCAGGTCAAGCTGGACAGGTTGGAGACTGTTGTTCTAACGATCATAGCCTATATGTGGGAAGGAAAAAATGGTTCTACATAAATGGTTCGTTATTTTTCAATGGTAATTCTTAAATATAGGAAAATAATAGGATTTGATTGTGCCTGAATACGTTGAGTACTTTTTACCAAGGGGAAAGCACAGGCTATGTTTGGATATTCTGATAAACAGAATATATTCCAGAATCTGATCTCTAGTTTTGCTGAAGTGAAGGACTAGACTATTTCCTGATTGGCCCAAACTTTTCGGGATGTCTATAATGTTATATTCTTCCCTATTTGTGAAAGCTGCATAGGGATTTATTGTTGTACTCAGAGTTTGACTAGATCTATGTTTCTTAATCTTGGTCATTTTTAATTAGGTGGACTTCAACTCCCAGAATTCTCCAGCTGGCATGCTGACAGAAGGATTCTGGGAATTGAAATTTGTACATCCCAACATTGTCAAGGTTGAAAAACCTGTTGGATGGGCACATGCATGTATCATCACTTGTGCGAGTAGTAAGTGGGCATGTACACGCTCATTTGCACAAGTGGTGGGTGCATGTGCCTGCCACTTATGTGGAACCATCCCTTTCCCACACACACACACCAGTCCACACAGCCAGAAAGGTTGGGGAACTCTGTTCTAAAGCTTACATTCTATCATTTTAAGAAATAACTGTTTCCAAATTTACTTTCAACAATAAGGAGAGTGTAATGAAGTGATGGGGAAAAGTGAAAATAATTAGATATTTAAAATCCCTTTCCATGCATAAAGTTTCAAATTTGAATACTATTGTTTAATAAGAGCCTATAACTCTCCAGATATGTGAAGTATTGTTGATAACTGTGATGGATAGAATTGGTGGGAGTGCAGCTCTCCATACATGGAGAGCCTAGGCTCTCCATACCTGATTTAAAACAGCTTTTTTCAAAATTGGCAACTTCAGATGTATGGATTTCAATTTCAAGAATTCACCATCTATCCTGCTGGCTGGGAATTCTAGAAGTTGAAGTTCACCAATCAGAGATGGTATTTGCTGGTTCTCCGAACTACTCAAAATTTCCACTACTGGTTCTCCAGAACTGGTCAGAACCTACTGAATATCACCTCTGATCCTGTGTTTATCTTTGGTTCCCATAATAGTAATGTGTGAGATCTGATAATGCTTTTCAATGTGTTTTTTAAAGTGGGGGATGCAAAGACAACTTTGCATAACACTTTACAACAATGATCATGAAGAGACCATCAGTTAGAAAAGAGCACAACTGGACAAGGTAAATTATTCTTGCATTATTCTTCACTGGTGGAAAATTGTATCTTTATATTCAAATTATTTCCTGAAATAAAGGCGTTTCTGATATCTGTGAAATCTGTAGCTGATATGTACAAATATGAAGTAGGGGTTGGTGGAAAATGCAAAGCAGAATGGATTGCTCAAACTCATGACAGCTGTGATAAGGAATATCCATCATTACCACACTAAGCTTCTATCTCATCTAGGTGAATCACATTTAAAAGGTGAGCCATGATTTAGCCTTTTCTGAATTCTTCTCTTTGCAATAGCAGCATCTAGACTTCTGGTGCAACACAATGTGCAACGCAGCTTTTGCTGGAGAATATGACATCCCTAATTCTGAATCTTGCCTTCTTAATTGCACTCAAGAATGTTTGGGGACTGACTGGGAAAGAGATGAATTCTGAACAAAATGTTACAGATTTATTTGATCAAGAAGGGCAACAATCCACCAAAGCAGAATCTGCTTCAACATGAAATTCAGTGCCGAGCAAATGCATCCCTGATCATTTTTCTGACAAAACGTGCCCCCAAATTTTCTTTGTTTCTGAAAGATACTTGCAAAAGATCTCAAACAAAAAGTACAAAATGATAGGTATACTTTCAAAATGAATTGCTGATAATGTAATTGTGAAAATAGTCTTGGGAGACTAGGTTCAGAGACATTGCTTAGGGAGCAGTCTGATAAGAAAGAGCATATTTCACAGCTGGATACTGGCAAGGTCCTCCCTAATTTCTCAGGAAGTAAAGGAGAAAGGAGGACAATTGTACCTGGACTTGCAAGATTCTGCTGATGTAGCCTTGTCATACAATAGAATTAGTTCATCCGGCCATGTTTCTTGTTGGATCCACCTAATAGTCTGATAGTACAATTTACATTGAAATAACTCACAATAGGAAATCTCCAGCAATAATAACCTCAAGGAAACTTATGCTAACATAAAGGAGGGGGGAATTACATTACAAATTATGTAAGTTGTGGAAAGTTTCATAGAAAAGAAAATTGCAAAAAGGGAACTTCTTTTTACAGATTGTTCTTGTCATCATCAAAGACATGCCAGAATTTTGTCCCACTAACAGAGACAAACTGAAATCTATGGGTTTTTTTACCGATTTGTAAATCACTGCTTACGCTCATTCCCAATACTTTTATCAAAGATTTGTATGTTTTTTGAACTTCTCCTTCTGGCCCAGGAAATGTAGAGACAATTTACACTGAAGAGTTTTATTCAATCTCGCTCCTTCCAGGCATGTTGAATTACAATCCCCATCTCCTCCCACCAATATGCAATTGAGGGCCACAAATTTAGTTGGCTGTCTTAGAGTATCAGACCAAGGCTAGGTATCTTTGGATTCAACTCCCCTCATTGATGAAGCTCCTCTGTGTTATTGCATCAGCCACTGATTCTCAGTGTGTACCTAATGATGCCTGTCTTATGAAGACCCAAAGGAGGGACACAATGGATTCTATGTATTCCTTGCTTTGTGATTCTAAAGTTTGTTTCAATATGAGGCATGTTCATAAATACTGCTCTGTTACCATATCCTGACATATGAATCCTCATTAAAAAATAGAATGAGAAGCAGATCTAGAAAACCAGGCATAATTGTTTCCGAAATATAGGACCTAATACCAAAGAATCATATCCATTGCTCCTGATGTCTCTGACCCTCATGTACTGCCTTAACTGAAAGCATTGGAAGTACAATATCAAACGTATGAGGGCAGAGTGCCTAATTACACACAGGACACCCCTGTTCTAAATCATCTGACTTCTGCAATCAGAGTTGACCAATGCTAGCTAAATTGATAATTTAGAGCATACAAAAATCTACCTCAGAACAGCCAGGTGGCAGAACATTGGTGGCAGCTTTTAGTATTGACCAAAGGGTGCCAACCCATGTAAGTGAACATAGCAATTGCCTAGGGTACCAAATTAAGTAGTGTGCCAAAGCCCAAAAGGGGAAAAAAATTACATATTAGGGGACAGCAATAATTGCATGTTTTCACCTAGAGTGCCAGGTACTCAGGCAGGTTTAAGGCTGCCACTGGGGCTGGATTACAAAGCTATATTTGGCAAACTCGGTACTTCTTATGAACCGATACTTTCAGCTTGGTCCATTTAGATTCAGCTGCCAGAAAAAAACTTTATTCATCTGAAACTTGCCCTAAAATCTCTCCTATTGATTTCAATGGTGACTTCCTCTGCTTGCTGAATATTAGTGACTTTGTAAAGTTTTGTCAGCCAGAACACCTGCAGCTATTTTGGTCTATAGCAAGTGTGGGAAATCTGCAACCTATCATTTCACATGCACATAGCCCCAAAGCACTCTCAGTTCAAACTGAAACCACACATTTCCAGGTGAGCTATGTTCCTCATTTGGTTGGCAAAGGAAAGACCTAAATAGTAACACTAGGTCTCTGGAGCATTTAACTTACTCATTTTGCCCCTGAAATCCCTTAACCCTTTAATGTGCTGGAAAATTCACCTTCCCCTTCTCATCTCAGAAGCCAAAGACAATTAAAAACCCCAAATGCCACTCCTGACAGCAAGAAGATGTTAAACAATGGCTAGATTTACACAATGTTCAACCCTTTGAAGTGCTTAGACATGTTTTTTAAATCACAGTGGCTGTACAAAGCCACTGTGGCTGTACAAAGCCACATTGTACAAAGCAGTAAATTACAAATGCAGCACCTGCAATCCCTCCCTTAAGTCACACTCGGATGTGGGATTTCAGTTTCCAGAATTCTCCCATCCATTGTTGAGAATTCAGGGAACTGAAATCCACTTATATGCCCTTGTTGCCTTAATGTGGTTTGGGGGTGGTGGAAGAGA